ATTGTACCAATTTGGTAACAATCTAGTAACTACTTATTCACAATATTATTAAAAAATTACAAATTTCTGTAAAGTATTCGTATTCCAATGTCAGTTAATAACTGGCTGAATCCTGAAGGTGAATAGGAGGTGCACCCGCAGTTTACTGATGAAGACTTTGTTCAAGGTGCTACAGAAATAGAGCAAGAAGAAGAAGAAGAAGTAGAGATCATAGAACCAACTCTAACTGCAAAAGAAAAGTTGGCTGTTTTACATGATGCATTAAAAATTGTTACTGAGATGGTTGATAATGGTGGCGCAACATTAAAATCTCTTCGTAAAATACAATCCCATATCCATGAAGAGGTTCAAAGAGAACAAAATGAAAAACAGGTTTAGTATACGTTGGACCAATTTTTTTAAGGTTTGCTTTCATGATTTCAGTAATAATTTATAAAATGATTGAAATATATAGTATTAAAAAAAACTTCTCTTTATAAAATCTCAGCAAAAATAAATAAATTCTTGAGGTCTCTTTATCTAAATAAAATAATGTGTAAGCATTGATAGATCGGTAAACATTTTTCTTTTTTTGATTTATGGCACAATAAAAAAAAAACTTGTCAAAGCCACACTTATAATATAAGCGGCCAGTTATAATCTAGAAGTAGGCTTTAAGACCCAAGAACAATTTCTTGCGAAAAGTCAGTCCCCTAATTTAGGAAGTTATAAGAACTGAATAATAATCACAGCAGTAATCATCTTAGTAATTATGGTTCTGAAATTTATTTATAGCTTCTTAAAAAAAATGCTGGATTTTAGGTACTTATTCTTCCACCTTGTATAGTTTTAACACAAACATTGCCGACTAGAACTATTAAACTATTTTCAACAGTCATTAGTGATGCACATGCAGCTAAAATTGTTTCATGGATTGATAAAAAAGTTGATCTTTATTAAGTAATGAATAATCCGTATGAATTTAAATTACTTATTAAAGCTTTGCTTCATTAAACCTTTTTAAGCTTGTATACGTATTGGTTACATGCCTATTCACGTGATTTACCTTTGTTTTCAAACCCGATATCTCATTTTTTAAGTATCAATTATCAGAAATGACAGATTACCAGGTTTAGATTATGGAATGGCTATGGTGGACTGATTTTGTACCGATTATAAGGGGTTATCGGTTTTGGCAAGATCGGTTTTGACAGGGTGTACTGTATATAAAAAAAAAATTTTTGTCCAGATCTCAGGTGAATTGCCTATTAAATTTATTTTTAATAATATAGTAAATTATTTAAGAAAATTATAGGCATCTCTTGTGGGATATATCCCTTAGATTGTAGTAGAACGCAGGCAAATTTGCCTGCGTTTTTGCACTTTTTTAGCTCTGATTTATTGTTTAAAAAAACCAAAATAT